ATATTTTCTCCTTGACCAGGGAACTCTGGAATGTGGCTATAATTTTCCAGGGAGTTTTTATTTTGGGAACTCTTTCAAGAGATAGTTGATGAATTTTTTTTTCAATTTCTGTTTTACCCTCTGGTTCTAGAATATCAGGGTAGTTTGATAATTTCTTGAAAGATTATGTCTAGGCTCTTCTTTTGATCACAGCTTTCTGGTAGTCCAGTAATTCTTAAATTATTTCTCCTGGATGTATTTTCCAGGCCAGTTGTTTTTCCAGTGAGATATTTTACATTTTCTTTTATTTTTTTCATTCTTTTGATTTTGTTTTATTATTTCTTGGCCTGCTCTCCTGGCCTGTGCTCTGGTCTGTCAGCAGCCACAAGCATTCTTTTCTCTCCTAGCACTGTGATCACAGATCCTTGCTTCTCTGTGGCTTTAAGCTCCGGTGTGCTGGTGTACCTCCTTGCCCTGGGACTGCAACTAGAATCTGTATATGGGCAATGCAATAGAGTCTTGCACCCAGTGCCCAAAGGGACTCCTGTAATTGCCCTATCCGTTTTACCTTTTGTGTGTTGAGAGCTCTGGAAGCTGCTGCTACTGATTCAGTTGTCCCGAAGGCCTTCTGCTGGCTTGACTGGGTATTGCCTGTGCTGGACTGTGCTCCTCACTCACCCACTGTGTGATAGACCTTTCCTGCTGACCTGAATTGTCTTGGGCTGGAAAATTGTTTCACCCGTCCTTTTGTAGGTTTCGCTCTAGAATTCATTTTGAGCATTATTTAAAGTTCTTTAGAGGAGAATTTGGGAGAGCACAGACTAGTCCCTGCCTTTTCTCTGTCATCTTGGCTGTGCCTCCAAAACTGGAAAGTTTTACTGAACTGCAATCTGAATATATGTCAAGAGTGTGATTGGGCTGTCAAAACAACAACAAAACCCCAGATGAAATTGTAAACTGTATTAATAGAAGTATCATGAATAGAATAAGGAAAATGGATAGTCCGACACTATTTGGCCATGGACAAACCATATCTGGAATTTTGTATCCAGTCCTAAGTACAAAAGTGAAGAAAGAAGCATACATTTTTAGACGTGGATACTCTGTGAATCAATTTTTCTTGCTTTTTTGAATTTTTTGCAAGAGGTTCACACTCTCCACCTCCCTTTTTGGTTTTTAATTGGGGCAGGGGAGCAAGGAGGAGTCACTATTTGGCAATTTCAACCAGTTTTTCAGCTGTGTCTGACTCTTTGTGACCCCATTTGGAGTTTCTTGGCAAAAATACTGAAGTAGTTTGCCATTTTATTCTTTAGCTCATGTTACAGATGAGGAAGCTTAAGCAAACAATGTTAAGTGACTAGCCCAGGTTCACGTAGCTAGTAAGTACCTGAGACTAATTTTGAACTTAGGAAGGTGAGACTTCCTGACTCCAGATCTGGCATTCTATCCGTAATACCACCAACTGCCCTATTTAGCAGTAGTGATGCCCAAAAAAAGAAGAAGAAGAAGAAGAAGAAGAAGGCCACTGAAACTTTTTTTTAATGCATAGATGAGAATAGGAGAAATTCAGAAGGAAACAAGGTAAGTAGGACAGTTTTGAAAATAATGTGTATAATTACATGCGTTATATGATAGAGATTCCTGGTTTTATACAGAATCCTCTTTGTGTATGGAAATGTCCGTTTTTGAGGTTTAAGTTCAAAACATAAAAAAATTTGAAGTTAAAAAGATAAAAATGATAGACTGCAGGTACAGAATAAGAGATTTTCTGTCTCATGTTGGTTTCTCATCTTAATGATTCATTTTGGGAGAGTAGAGAAGTTATTACATGTGACAGTAATTTTTAAAAAATTGAAAAAGCATTAAACATTTTTTAAAATAATATTTTATTTTTCCAGCTATTACATATAAAAACAATTTTTAACATTAATTTTTTAAAATTTTGTGTTCTCTCCTTCCCTCTTCCCTGAGACACGTAAGCAATTGTATATAGATTATACATGTTCAATCATGCAAAATATATTTCCATATTAGTTATGTTGTCAAAGAAGACAGGACTCCTCGCCCCACCCCCCCCCAGGAAAAAAAAAGGCAATATGAGAAAGATAAAGAAAGTGAAAAATATATGCTTCAATCTGCATTCAGATGTCATCGGTTCTCTGAAGGTGGATAGTATTTTTCATTGTTAGTTCTTTGGAATTGTCTTAGATCATTATATTGCTGAGAATAGCTAAGTCATTCACAGTTGATCATCATACAATATCGCTGTTATTGTGTATAATGTTCTCCTGGTTCTGGTCACTTCACTTTGCATCTGTTTGTATGAGTCTTTCCATGTTTTTCTGAAATTGTCCAGTCATCATTTTCATAGCAGGATAGTATTCCATTACAGTCATATACCACAACTTGTTCATCCATTCCCCATTTGATAGACACCCACTCAATAATCATAAAGCATTAAAAAAAACAGATTAAGGAGGTTTAACCTAGAGAAAAGAAGATTTGACAGGGAAGACTGTTCCGTTATGGGTAAGACTATATGACTTCAGAGGTTCCTACTAATACAAAGATTCTGTAATGATGTGAAATACTTAAAAGATAGTTTTGTGGAAGAAAGATTCATTTTGACCTACTTGGTTCTGGAAGGTAGCACTAGGGCTGAGAAATGGTGGAGATTTTGACAATATTTGGAAAACCTTCCAAATTTTTAGAACTATCCAAAAATGGAATGGGAAGTATAGTGAGTTTGCCATCAGTGGAGTCTGGGTGACTTTCTCTAAAGGATATTTTAGTGGGAATTCCTGTATCAGATAACATATCAACAAGATGGTCTTCGAAGCTCCTTCTGTCTCAGAGATTCTGTCCTCCTAAACCTATATTGAATGTCAGTTAACACTTTCAGTTTTATGACTGTGAGCTATATTTATTTATCTGTTCTTTGGACATGGTCCATTATATAGTTGTAATAACATGTAATCAATACAATATAACTGCTGTTTCACACATAACACAGTTTGAAATCTAATTAGTTGAAAGTACTGAGTTATTTCCTACATAAATTTTAGCTGGTATTTTCTTTTATTTCTTCTGTTGTTTTTAGTTTGGCTTTCTCCAGTCTCTTCAAGAAATTTTTAAAAGAAATTTTAGATGAGGAACATTTTCTTAATCAAACAAATGACAAAAAATAGTTGACATGTATTAGTGAAATAGAAAGAAGTAAAGAATGGTAGGTTGACCCAGAGTACTTGATCCCAGTTCTTGTATTGAGAAGAGGTCTAATGCAGCTAATTTTTACCTTGTCTTAGAGGTAGAGGAGAAGCATGGATTTCAGAAAGCCTTAAGTTTCTAATTGATATTATGACTCAGGTCATACAAGTTAATGGTAACATTTTGTAGGCAAGTAACAACATTGAAGAGGCAGCTAGATGGCTCAGTGGATAGCCTTGAGTCCACAGGATTTGAGTTCAAATCTAGCCTCAGACACTTTCCAGCTGTGCGATGCTGGGCAAGTCATTTAACCCTGTTTGCCTCAGTTTCCTCATCTGTAAAATAAGTTTGTAAAAGAATTGGCAAATCACTCCAGTATCTCTGCCAAGAAAACCCCATGACTGATGCCGAGTGAAGTGAGCAAAATCAGGAGAATGTTGTACATAGTAACAGCCACGTTGTATGATGACTGACTTTGATAGACTTAGCTCTTCTCAGCAATGCAAGGATCTAAGACATCTCCAAAAGTCTCATGATGGAAAATGCTGTCCACATCCAGAGAAAGAAATATGGAGTTTGAATGCAGATTGAAGCATACTATTTTCTCTTTACTTTTTTCTGTTTTGTTTTGTTTCTTCTTTCATGTGGTTCCTTCTATTGGTTCTAATTCTTCTTTACAACATGACTAATGTGAAAATATGATTAATAGGAATGTATATGTATAGCCTATATCAGAGTGCATACCATCTTGGGGAGGGAGGCGAGGAAAGAGAGGGAAAAAATTTTAAAACTCAAAAGCTTACATAAGTGATTGTTGAAAACTAAAAATTAATTAACTAATTAAAATTAAAAAAAAAAGAAAGAAAACCCCCTGGACATTATGATCCATGGGGTCATGAAGAGTCAGACACGACTGAACAACCAAATGACAATGTTGAAATAATTTTCAAATAATTTTAAAACTATTTGTGTTAAACTAAAGGAGAACAGTTTGATCATAATATTGGTGAGAAATGGGATGAATTACAAAAGACATTTGTGTAATTTCTTTCCTTCTGGCCTATAGAGTTGATGGTATGGGGTGGAGATGGAGGAATACAAAAGATCACAGGATCATAACTAGAACTGGCAGGGAGACCTTAGCGGACATCTCAGCCAATCCCCCCATTTTACAGATGGCCCAGAGAAGCCATGAGATTTGCCTGTGGTCCCACAGGACATAGCAGAACTGGGACTCAAAGGCAGATCCTCTGACTCCAAATCCAGCACTCTTTCCATTGAACCATTTGTCTGGATCATTACAGGCTTCAAGGGGAAGCAGCATAAGCGGCAAAGAAGTAGCTCTATTCTTTTTCTTATAATGGCTTTATTCTAATTTAGAGCACTAGCCTCTTTCTACATATATGTGTGTGTTGACCTTGTACTAAAGTGTGGAAGTCAAGAGGTAGAGTAACTGTTCAAATATAGACCATTCCTTATAAATGTCACTTAGCCAATTTCCACAGCCAGATTACTGAATAAAAGTATGTCTTTATCCTTGACAGGTTTTTGACTGAGAAATTCTGTAGTATGATAGCAAAGAAAAGATACAAAAGCATGTTGCTTGTTTGTTTTTTTAATCACTTTTGAAGACAACAGAATTTACTGTTTCAGATGGTTATATCTATTGCATAGGTTAGGGTATAGGATATAAACTCTTTGAAGGCCAGGATTGTTTTTCATTTTTGTCTCTATATCTGTGGTACCTGGAACTGCACCTTGCACGTATTAACTACCTAATAAATATTGAATGTATCCTATATACTTTGGCATAGGAATTACAGAACCAGGTGTGTGTTGATATCCTCTCTGCATGTGAGAACTACATTTCTAAAGTTGTTCTTAAAGAAGGTGGAACAGTAAATATGGAAGAAGACTTGTTGGTAAGCACCTACTCTTTCTTTTCTCCTTCGTTTTTAATGGTCAATTTAAAAATTGTTTTTCTATTTAATATGCATCTCAAACATTGTTAGAAAATCAGAGGGCTTCCCTAGCTTACTCAGTTAAAGAAATAAAGCTCCAAAATTTTTTGGTTGTTGTACTATTTGATTTTTGTCTTACATTCTTGTTTTCTAGAATAACTCTATGAGAAACTTGATTACAACAGGGCAAACATAACAAGTGTCATATGTTGGTTAAAAGCAAACATAAAAATAATAAGGAAAGTAAATGAGTTGTTTACTCTTTACTTACCTTTTGAATGAGAACGTACCTTGTGAGGTATTTGAGCTTCAGAATACAGAATTAATAAGTGGTGTTGGATGGTTCCAAAGTAATGTCTAAAATAAAAATGAGGTGCTTTAGAATTCAAAGCACATCTGACCTCTGAGAAGCATGATGATGTTCTTTTATACAATTTTCCTACACTCCCTGCTGTGGCATATGTTTCAGTGCAAGGTGTTCCTTCAAAGGGAGTGAATGTTCAGCTAATTAACTGATTTATGAGCTGTAAGTCAAAAAGTATTTTATGGTAATTCTGAAAAGTACTGATATTAGCATCTGACACCATCCAGTGAAGGAAATAATGAGCTAATTCTTGGTGCTGTTCAGCACTGGCCATCATTTTTAAAGATCAGGTCATTTTTCTAATCCATCTGAAAGTTAAGAGAAAACTTATAGTCCCTTTTTCCTTTGCCAGCCTAGCATTTGCAGTTCTAAGTGATTGAAGACCATCGTTATTTTTCAGAGAAGGGTGTTAGTGCCTGAGGCATTATTATGTGCATATTTTTATATTAAATATTATCAGCATCAGAAGGAATGAAAATGTTATGTGATGATCCACAGACCTGTATAGAACAGACTTGATTCTCAAAGTTTCTCCAGTGATATTGACTTTTTAATCTGTCTGAAAGAATCTAAAGCCTCACTGTTCAAATTTTCCCTAATGTCTACTCTTTCTGGCTACTCTGATTAAACTGATTTATTGTGAAGTTAAATCTGTCACTAACACCTATGATGTAGTCAAGATAAGTATGAAAAGGATTTTTCCTGTGTGCAGCAATTGGATTTTATTAGATGGAAATTCTTATTATCATTGTCATATATTTCAACCAAAACTATATTCAAAATTTTAAACTGCATAGCTCCTTAATAAGGACTTCAGGTTTCTTTTGGTCCATTAAGAAGGAAGGTGACTTTAAGATTTTTTTTTTCTTTTCCAATTTTGTTTCTAATTAGGTAAGTTAGCCTAAAACATTTTTAAATCCCTAACAACTTGATGCTTCAGGGTACAAAGGAGGAAAATGTTATTAACTAACAATAACCATAATTTGCATCATTCTGTTTTTTGGTTTCTTTTATCCAAAGCAGTTGCCACTGATTTTATCCTTGAAAAATGATACATCAGCTATGGAACTAATTCTTTTCTTTCCATGTTTGTCTGCAAAACCACTTCTCTCTGTAGGTGAGACATATCTTTACCTTAGGAGAGGTGGCTCAGCTGTGTCCATCCAAAGTGGGGAAACGAGTCTTTCTTCTGATTCAATCTATTCTGGCTTCTGTTGATGAGGAACAATGTAAGACACACGAACTTACGTTAATTCAACATAATGCACCACTGCCAAAAGGCACTATTAACATAAAGAATATATGTAAATCTTTGGGTTTTTTCCCCCCTCCTCAGTGCCTTCATCTCAAGATAATGGTAATCTTCCACCTTCTCAACCACTGTCCCAGTTCAGAGGCTCTGTCATGCCTCCACTGATAAGAGCCCACGCTGTCATTACCTTAGGTAAGAGTAGTATAAGAACAGTGGCATGGAAAACTGATTCTTCATTTTTTGCTTTTAAATAGTTTTGTAGTTCCCTAAATAAGGATAATCATGGTACCGTGTTATAGGTTTCTGAGTTTATGTTTGCTACAGCACATGGAGTTTTTAGAAATAATGTCTAGTAACAAGCCCAAATCTGCATGTACAACAGAATGCTGATAGAGGAGGATGACATGTCGTTACAATATGAGATTGTTAGACTTTACTATATGAGATTGTTAGACTTAGAAAAATTCCTGTGTGGGATTAAAGAGGAAGGGGCCACAATGTATTGCAATTGTGTGTGTGTGTGTGTGTGTGTGTGTGTGTGTGTGTGTGTGTGTGTGTGCGTGTGTGTGTGTGTATTATTCCTGGATTCTTGATAAGAGGCACTACAAATTACTTATCAGGAGATAGCATTTGGAAAAGGAGGTTTTAGGCATTGAGAACATTTATTTCTCTGGAATCATAGCTGTTAGTGAAGCTTTAAAAATCCTCTTAGAAATTAAAATTTTTCTTTTCTCTTAAGGTAAATTTTTTTTAACGTCTGGCAGATATTCTTTATAACAATAAACACTAAGCTAAACTTGTCAGAAATAGGGAATGAGCATTTGTATAGATTCTGCTGTATGCCAGGCACTGTGCTACATGCTTATTACAAATACTATCTCATTTGATTCTTACAACAACTGTGTGAGGCAGGTACTATTATTACCCTCATTTTACAGTTTAGGGAACTGAGGCAAACAGGTACTTATCTTGGGTGACACAGCTAGTAACTGAGGCTGGATTTGAACTCTGGTCTTCCTGACTCCAGGCCTAGCACTCTACTAGTTCTACTAGCTGTCTAAAATAACAAAAAATTTCGAGGCCTGAAAAACTTTCGATAGCTTTCCCTCCCATCAGAAAGAATAAAAATAATAAAATTAATGACATCATTATTCTTTCATACTTGCTCAGTACCAGTTCAATTCCTGGAAGTCAGAAACTTAGTCATAGTTCCACTGAGATTATGAAGTTATTTGCACAAAATGTATCAAAGAAAACTTGGAGAGGTAATGGGGTGTAGTAGAAATGGTACTGAATTAAGTTTGAGGAGATGTGATTTTTAATCCCATTCCTGTGAGTAACTAGCTTTGTAACTTTAGGCACTTCACTTACGCTTTCTAGTTTGTTATTACTTTGTCTGCGGACGGAGGAATTAGACCAGGACATTGGTGTCAAACTCAAATAGAAACAGAGCCCACTAAACCATACATAAGGATTCCTTTGGGTCTCATATTCACTTAATTTTAAAATGTAATATTACCTATGTTTTATTGTTTTAATTTATTTGTTTGTTTATTATTTATTTTGTTAAATATTTCCCAGTTACATTTCAACATGATTTGGGCTGCACTTGGGAGTGTTGTGAGATATGTACCACCCATAGGGCACATGTTTGACACTTCTGGACTAGATGATCTCAAAGTCTCTTTCTGCTTAGGAGGAGTCTGGGAAAGGTGCAAAGATACAGGTGCACACGTATGATGAGTGGCAAGTGAGCCATCTTGTCTAGAACTCAGAGTGTGTGAAGGAGATTGATGTGTATTAAGCCTGAAAGGGGGTCTGCAGTCAATTTCAGGGGGTTTTAAATACCAGAGGAATATTTTTTTTGTTATGTTGGAGGCAATAGAAGGCCAGTGGAGCTTCATGGACTGTGGAGTGACATAATCAGACTTTTGCTTTAGGAAAACCAATTTTGGAACTGTGTGAGGAATGGATTAGAGAAAGTAGAGAACAATGAGGAGGCCATTGTAATAGTCCAGGCAAGAAATAATGAGGATCTGAACTAGTGAATCAGCGTTATGAGTGGAGATAAGAGGGTGGATATGAAGGTATGATTGACAGCACTCTGCAACTCATTGTAGGGAGAGGTCATTGGTGACTTTGAGGTTACAAACCTAAGTGATTGAAATGATAAGGGAGAGTTTAAGGGAAAAAAATGAGTTCTCTTTGGACATATGAGATGCTTATGAGACATTCAGTTGGAGATGCCCAATAAGCAATTGGTGATGTAGGCAGGGCTGCATATGTAAATATGAGTTATCGATATAGAGGTAATAGTTGAATCCATTAGTTACCCATTAATAACATCATCAAGAAAAAAATATGGAAAAGAAAAGAGAGCCAAGGATTGAGTTCTGAGATACGATCACACGTAGAGGATAGGACATGAATAATTATCCAGTGGAGGAGACTGAGAAGACTAAGGCAAGTGGTTGGAGACTGTGGAGAGAGCTGTTTCATAAAAATCTGGGATGGATAGAGTGTTCAGCAGAAAGGGGCAGTCAGCAGTTTCATGTATTGCAGAGAGGTAAAAAAGGATAAGGCTTTTTGGCAATGAAGAGATTATTTGTAATTTTGAAGAAAGCAATTTCAGTTCAGTTTTGAGGTTAGAAGCCAGACCAGAAAGTGAGAAGTGAGTGAGAGGAAGTGAGTGTAGACAGAGCAATTTCAGTTCAGTTTTGAGGTTAGAAGCCAGACCAGAAAGTGAGAAGTGAGTGAGAGGAAGTGAGTGTAGACAGTTTTTTCTAGGAGTTTAGCTGTGAAAGTGAGGAGAGATATAGGCCAATAGCTTGAGCTCATGATATGAAGTGAAAAGGTTTGTTTTTGTTTTGTCCTTGTTTGTTTTTCAAATGGGGGAATCTTAGGCTTGATTTGTATCAGGGAAGGAGTCAGTAGGTAGGTAGAGATTGAAACTTAATGAGGTGCAATTGTGGTGGCAGTATTTTAGAGGCAATATGCTAGAGGAGAAGATGGAAGAGGATGAGATCGAGGGCACAGTTACAGGAGTCAGCTATGGAGAGAAGAAATGCTACTTCTCTGTCACAGACTGGAATAAAAGACTGGGAGTGGGGACAGGGGAGAGAAAATGGAGGATGATTAGGGGGCTTTTAGATATAGAATATGAAAAAAAGAAGAAGCTTATAGTGATTGACCTCTATTTTTTCGTGAAGTATGAGGTAAAGTTTTCTGAGGGAAGCTTGAGAAAATAAGGGGATTGTAACAACTACCTTGGGGAGCTGAGTAGAGTAGAATACAAGATTTGCCTTGCTGCACCTAGGACCCAGTTGAGATTAGATAAAAATTAGTAGTGGCCTTACTCTAGCAGCATGTGAATAAGAATGGAAAAGATAGGTGGCCATGTAATACATTGAGAAAGGTAATGTATACAAGAGCTGAAGCTTATACGTTTCAGTGGATTGAGAGCTTACTTGTTTAAACATCAAAATTAATTTTGGAAAAATGGACTGTTCATCAGAGGTATGCATAATATTCAATGCAATAATACACTTTCCTTTTGGAAAATTAAAGATTACATTTCAAAATCTTGGGAATTAAAAAAAAAAGGTGGCACTGGGTGAGGATGGGGGCACAATTGGGAAATAGAGAAGCAAATGAATAAGAATGCAAGTAATTAGGGCATAGAAGAAATAAATAGCAACCACCAAGAAAATTAAACCCTTGCATTTCTGATTCCAAATTCAATGCCTCATCTGTTAAGTTTTGTGGTTCCTCTCAGGTATATGTTATTTATAAGGCTGACACATTGCCTAATAGAGAAAGGAAGATTGTTTCATTAGACTTTGACTCTCCATGGAATGCTTCTCATAAAATCTCTAGAATTTACTTTTTTTTAAGATACCTTGCCTTGTCCTGTTTTTAATGTTGTGCAATTTTACTTTAGCTTCTTGTTTTATTGGCTTCGTGTTGGTTTGTTTGTATTGACTTATAATAAATGAAAACTTATTGACGATAAGCTTCAGGTGATTTAGGCATAAAACAGAACATGTCACTAATGATTAATTCTCTCCTATTACAGGCAAATTATGTTTACAGCATGAAGATCTTGCAAAGAAGTGTATTGCGGCCCTCGTGCGTGAACTGGAGGTGTGTGAGGAAGTGGCCGTCCGTAACAATGTGATTATTGTTCTGTGTGACCTGTGTATTCGCTACACAGTTATGGTGGACAGATACATTCCAAATATTTCTGTGTGTCTGAAGGACTCAGATCCTTTCATCCGAAAGCAGACTCTTATTTTGCTGACCAACCTCTTACAGGTATGTAGAGTTTACGTAGTTAAAGCCACAAATAACTTCTATGTGCAAGGTGCAGTGTTCGGCACCAGATATATAACAGTGAAAAACCAGTGTCTACCCTCAAGGAGCTGACAGTCTTAATATAGAGTCATGAAATGTATGTGAACAAAAATAATACATGAGAGAATTCAATAAAGGCCAAAGAAAGTTCCAGACAAAGTGCCATTCGACATTTTGGCAAGGGAGAGATCCCTCACCTGGGGATATGTGCAAATGTGAGGATTGCAATAGGCAGAGATATGGAGGGGAGCACCTTCTAGTCATGAAAGATGGATTCTACACATACTAACAAGTGGTAGAATATAGGGCATTTTATCTTCTCCAAAGGATGTAGTAAATTACCTGAGGGCAAGAACTGCTTCAGTTTTGTCTTGGTATCTCCAGTGCTTAGAATAGTGCCTGTCACAAAGCAAACACTTAATCAATACTTGCCATGTCATAGAAGCCAAGAGGTGGTCAGTTTTCAAAAGCTGTAGAAACCTCAGAAAGTCTAAGTCCTATGGAAAGGTACTAGGATTTGGCTATTTGGCATCTTCAGCTACCATCAGTAGACATCTTAAAGTTACCATGTCCAAAACAGAGCTTTCCCCCTCAACCCCCTCTTCATTACCCCCATTTCTGTGAAGGTCACCACCATCCTCCTAGTCGCCTGGGCTAGTAACTTAGGTGTCATCCTCAATTCCTCATAACTCTCACCTCCTTATATCCATTTTCTTGCCAACCCTTCGATTTAACTTTTCATCGTCTTTCAAATCTGCCCCCTTCTCTCCTCTGATACTGCTACCACACTGGTGCAGGCCCCTATTACCTCACATTTGGACTATCACAATAGCCTGCTGGTGAGTTTGTCTGCCACAAGTCTCTTCCCACTTCAATCCATCCTCCACTCATCTACCAAAGTGATTTTCCCAAAATGCAGGTCTGACTATGTCACCCTCCTACTCCATGAACTCCAGTGGCTCTCTGTTATCTCTAGGATCAAATAAAAAAATCCTATTTGACATTCAAAACCCTTCATAACCTAGCACTGCCTCTCCCTTCTACCTTCTTTCCAGTATTCTTACACCTTACTCTTCACCATGTCCTCTTCAATCCAGTGACACTGGCCTCCTTTGTTGCTGTTTCACAAACAACATAATCCATACCTTGATTTCAGGAATTTTACTGGCTGTCCCTTGTGCCAGGAATGCTTTCCCTCCTCACTGGTGCCTACTGCCTTCCCTAGTGTCTTTCAAGTCCCAATTAAAATCCCATCTTCTACAGGGAGCCTTTCCCAATCCATCTTAATTCTAGTACCTTCCTTCTGTTAATTTATCTATATATAGCTTTTTTTGCACATATTTGTTTGGTGTCTGCCCCTTTAGATTGTAACTCCTTGAGGGGCAAAGACTGTCTCTTGCCTCTTTTTTGTATCCCTAGCACACTGCCTGCACATGGTAGGTACTTAATAAATGCTTATTAATTGATTGACTATTTGGAGATTCCTGGTGACTTTGGAATAAGGGGTTTTAGGAGAGTTGTGAAGTGTAAGGTGACCAAAGCCAGGGCGGGGACAGGGGGCATTGAGGAGTGAGTGGTTGATGAAACAGAACCAGTGAGTACAGACTCCTTTAAAAGAAATTTAGCTGTGAAAGGGAGGAGAGATAAGATTGAGACAGTTAGGGAAGAGGTACCTTTTTCTTTTCCTTACATTCATTTGTTATGGACCAAGGGGAATGATTCTCTTCCATCTTCCAGCCCCATATTGAACCTTCCTCCTTGTAATAAAAATAATTAAGCAAAAAACACCAGATACAGTGGCCCCTTCTGACAATATATATGCCGTTAAAGTTTAGTAATCTCCTTCTCTTCTGTCATGAAGTGTGAGGTATATTTCCTTATCTGTTCCCCTGGACCATTTTGATTTTGTCTGTTGCTCAGAAGGGGTCAGGGCAGGAGCCAAGATGGCGGAATAGAGGGAAGCCAAACTCTCCCAAACATTCCCCTCTAAACAACTTTTTTTAAAATTCTTTTTTTAATTTTAGACTTAAATACTAAAACTTAAATATACAATAGAAAGCCTGTGTAATAAATACTACACATTGTGTTGAGAGCTGTCCATCTTTTCTTTGCTTCCTTGTAAGTTTTCTTTTGTTCTCTGCTGTGTACTTTTTACTTTGGTTTTTTTTTCCCCTCCCCGCCCCAGACGGCTACAATTAAGCATGGATATATTTATATAGAGAGAGAGATACACATACATATATATATACATATATATATGTACATATACATATATAAACATATACTTTCCCTAAAAAATTCTTCTAGTGATCTTTGTTCTTATGTTTGTATGTATCTCTTATTTCCTATCTGTCCTGACTCCTTTACTTTACTTCTACCCTCTACCTTGCCCTCTTATTACTTAACCTTCTTCCACAAGGATCCTTCCCTTATCCTCCTGTTCCCATAAATCTAAACACCCTTTTCTACCTCCCCCTTGACCTGTTCCCTCACGCTCCCCTGTAAATATCCCTCCCTATTTTCCCATTTCCATTAATCTAAACACCCTTCTATGCCCCCCTTTAACTTATTCCCTTACCCTCCCCTCTAAAGATCCCTCCCTTATCCTCTCCCCCTTCCTATCCCCTTAGCATTTTATTTCTTTTTGAATTTAGAAGACTTTTATACTCTTCTAGATATATATGTATTCTTCCCTCTTGAACCCATTCCTGATGAAAGTAGGTTTCCAGAACTAACATCCCTCCTCCCCATCTAATTCCTCTGTGTCAGTTCTTCCTCTCACACCTCATCTGTATAAGATAATTACTCTTTTTAGCTGTTCCTAAATGGTTTTACTTTTTAAAGGCATATCATACTTAGATCTACCCCAGTCTTTCTTATGAACTACCCAATTACTAATAACAATCTTAGACATACGTCTTCAACAACTTTTAAAGTAACGTGTCAAATTGAATTCTAGAGTGGCTTAGCCAACAAAAGGTAAGGGTGAGGCATTTTTCCAGCCCAAGACAACTTAGGAAATCAAAAGGAGAGATCTGTGGTACTGGCAGAGGTTGGGGGTGGGGGGATTGGCCCACGTGGCAGCAACCCGAGCTATGGGCCTTGGAGGCAGCAGCAATGGCATCAGCAGCAGTTTTAGGAGCTCTCGCTGCCCAGGGATGGTAAGGGGATTGGACAACTGGTCAGAAAGAGATTGCGGGAGATTTCTGAGCTAGCACTAGGTGGGGGACCAGGTGTCATTTGTCAACTCCACTGCACATTACCGAATTCCTGGTTGCAGTTCCAGGATGAAGAGTGTTATTGTTTGTGGTTGCAAAGGAACAGGACCCCTACCTGGGCAAGGAGCAGAATGTAGACCAGGAGAGCAGTGACCATACCTCTCCCCAGATCACATCACCTTAGAAGGATTGGAAACTTAGTTACACCTGGCCCCCCTAAACTGAAAAGAAAGCCTGAAGCTTGGGATAGTGCTGCGTGCCCTCTGCCCCCACCCCCTTACTCCCCAGGTAAACAGAGTTCAACTTTATTTTACATAAATTCATAGGCTGGGAAAATGAGCAAATTACAAAAAAAGAACCTAATTCTCTAGTCTAACCTACACACAAAAGGAATCTCCACTATGGCATGTTTGACAAGTGTACACCTAGCCTTTACTTGAAGTCTTCCAAGGTTGACCACCTCCACCCTGGGATGCAAACAACACATTATGTCAGCTCAGGGGAGTCTTTGTCCTTGACACATTCAGGACCTCCTTCATACTCTGGGTCCAGTGTTTCAGGAAAATATGGCTGCTCAAAAAGACAAGTTCAGGGAATCCCATAACATTCCTCAACAGTTGATAATCTGGGATTAAGGTTTAGCAGGGTGAGATTAGTGGAAGAACAATACAGGGGTGGGTGAGGTTTTGAGTGGTTTCAGGCTGGAGGACTATGCCTTATTGAAATAGTCAAGACTCTGAATGTTAGGAAATGAAGCCAGAACAAGGTTGATGGATTAGGAGAACAAAGAGGGATTGAAGGCCCAGAGGTCGAAATGGTGGTGAAAAGAGGCAGTGGGAGGACAGAAAATTGTGATGAGTTGGGGAAACTTCAGAATTTAAAATGAGAAAGGTAGAACTTCTTTCAGCAATGGTAAGTCTAAAGTATAGCCATAATAATAACATTAATAATAATAACTAGCATTTGTATAATACCTTAAGGTTTGCAAAACATTTATCTTATTTAGTCAGTAAGGTGCTAGAAATAGAACAGAAACTACCTCTTAATTATGTTGTAGAGAGAATCCCTAGTCAGCTGGATGGTTCAGTAGATGGAACACCTAGAATCAGTAGGACCTGTGTTCAAATCCAACTTTAGACACTTATAAGTTTTGTGACCCTGGGTAAGTCATTTAAATGCTTTCTGTCTCAGTTTCCTCAACTGTGATATGGGAATAATAATAGCACGTATATCACAGGCTTGTTTTGAGGATCAAATGATATAATAATTGTAAAGCATTTAGCACAGTGCCTGGCACATAGTGGGCACTATATGTTAGGTATTATTACTATTTGATTGTTGTGATTAATTCGATTGTGTCTGACTCTTGGTGACTCTGTGGACTGTACTGTCCAGGGGATTTTCTTGGCGAAGATACTGGAGTGGTTTACCATTTCCTTTTCTGGTGAATTAAGGCAAACAGAAGTTAAATGAATTGCCCAGGGACCCATAGCTAGTAAGTGTCTGAGGCCAGATTTGAACTCAGATCTCCCTGACTCCAGGCTATCCACTGAGCCATTTAGCTGCCTCCTAGTGTTATTATTACTAACTGTTATTATTTAGGTAGACTTGGACTCAGGTCTGTGAGGTCCTTTCTGTCTCTGAGATTCTTTATTTCTCAGAAGTCAAGGAAGAGGTTAATGAACTGAGATGCCAGGGTGTTCAAAGGGTCTTCATTGTGAATATTGTCAACAAGAATGATAATGGGGTTGAAGTGGAGAAGAAAACTGTAAGATGAAAACAGAAGTTATTGAGGACATTGGGACAAAGGGTCGCAGTAGTTGCTAGTTGGTAGATCTAGATAGGGTTAAGCAAAGAGCTCATCGCAAGTGTTTCCAGTTGGACTTAAACAAAATGTCCTGCTTTGTACCTGACTTTAGAAAATCAGACTCACCTCTAGTTGAGAGCACAGCTTTTCCATATTTTTGTTTATCTCTTCTTTGTCTGCAGCTTTGGGCTAAGATATATTAGAGTTATGTGAGGTTTGATTATTTTTTACATGGAAAATATGTATAGACCACTATGGTGGGGACAAGAGTTGCTAGCCTTTAAAAGTAGGAACTGAATTTAGTTATGTATTCTTCCAATGTATTGGGATTTATAGTAACTTATATGCTAGCCCTTTAACTGAAAGGTAATAGGATTTAGAGCAGAAAGTAACCATAGAAAGTATCTGGTTCCCACCCACCCTGATTAAAGCTGGGAAAACAGCTCCGGTATAATGAAGTAATTTGCACAAAGTTACCCAGGTAGGGGGCAGCTAGGTGTCACAGTGGATAGAGTGCCAGGGCTGAAGTCAGGAAGACTCATCCTCCTGAGTTAAAATCTGGCTTCAGACATTTTACTAACTCTGTGACCCTGGGCAGGTCACTTAACCCTGTTTGCCTCAGTTCTTCATGTGTAAAATGAGCTGGAGAAGGAAATGGTAGACCACTCTAGTATCTTTGCCAAGAAAACCCCAAGTGGGGTCATGAAGAGTTGGACATGATTGAAATGACTGAAAAACAACAAAAACAACACCACTAGGAGTACAGCTGAACCAAGGTCTTCTGATTCCAAATTCACTTTTCCATTTCCATTTTTCCATTCTGCCTTCAAGATCAATCAACAAGCAGTTATTAAGAGCCTATAATGGCGCCACTTACTTACATCAGGCATAAACTTTGAATCATCGCACTAGTCCTAGTGAAGATTTTGAACTGATTTTTCTACACTGTCAACAATAATCTTTCCTGACAAGAGAATGTTTTTGAGATGGTTGATATAGATTATGTGGCTATGGAACAGAACAAAACAAATGAATCTGTGATTGGCTTTTGGGATATCTAAATTCTTGACTTGTATGTCATTAGAACCAAAGTCTAACCAATTGAACTAATGAGCCACAGGAAAAAAATGAATATCTGATAAGTAGGGGAATATCTGACATTAAGCAGGGAAAAGTTGCTTTAGGTAACAAGGCAACTAATACACTTAAGATCTATGTATTTAGCAAATCTTGAAATATTCTGTTTTCTGTTTTCCCCTAGGAAGAATTTGTGAAATGGAAGGGATCACTATTCTTTAGGTTTGTAAGTTCTCTGGTGGATCAACATCCAGAAATTTCCAGGTATGATATCTTTTCCCAAAATTTTGGTTTATCAGATTGCTTAACTGAATACTTTCTAATAACTTGTAGCTATTTATGATCTCTTTTCTGCCTAATTAGTTTAGAATTAAACATCAGTAAATAAAATAAAATTATAAAATTTGTGAAAGCAGTGGTGAGCTTTGAACATCATTCAGGCAGTTTATTTGTAAATGTTAACCACATTGAGCAGCACATAATTGTCTTGGCATTAACTATGCTTTGTAACCCTACTTAAGAGTTCTGATAAGAAAATGTGCCCTGGTTGAGTTAGAATTTATAGAGCAGTAGCCATTGGCTCCTAATTTAGTTTTGTTGACCACTAAGTCTAATCATTTATGAGCGATTCTTGAGTTTCAAAAAACATAGGCTTTATCATCTAGGGCCGACGTGTAAAGAGAGGAATCTTGAGAGCTGGAATGAAGCACTGTGTATATCAGAGCATATGAATGAATGAATGCGTTTAGTAAGCACTTACTATGTGCAAAGCAGAGGCAGAACCTGCTTTCAAGGAGCTCACTTTTGGATGAGGAAACAATACATGTAGGAGGTTCCAGCTCCAAGTCAGATAGAAAGGCCTCAGTAGTCCTTGGTGAAGGTATAAGCATTTCTATAGCACCTACTATGTGCCAGACACTAGGCAAAGAACTTTTTAGAAAACAAACAAACATCTCATTTCATCTTCACAACTATCCTTCAAGGCGGCGCTATTATTATCCCCATTTTGTTGTTCAGTTGTGTTTCAAACTCTTGTGTCAAACTCTTCATAACTCTATTTGGGATTTTCTTGGCAAAGATACCAGAGTGGTTTGCCATTTCTTTTTCCAGCTTATTTTATGGATGAGGAACTGAGGCAAACAGGGTTAAGTGACATGCCCAGGGTCATATAGCTGGGAAGTATCTGAGGGCAGATTTGAATTCAGGAAAATGAGTCTTCCTCACTCCAGGCCTGGCACCCTCTCCACCTAGCTACCCATTTTACAATTTAAGAAATTCAGGTAAATAAAGGTTACATGGTTTGCCCAGGGTCACAGAACTGAATTTGAATTCAGGTCTTCTGACTCTAGGCCTAGTGCTTTCTCCATTGAGTCACCAGCTTCCTCTAAGGTACAGCATCAAGTAGATGGTAATGGATCTTTCTTTAAAACCATTTCCACTGATAGTTTCCTATCTGTTTCTGATTCTGAACCATTTTATAAGTCACAAGATTACATGGAAATGAGTCTTACAAGGGTGAGACACTCAGGGGAGCTAGGAAAGAAAAGAAAACATGGTACTTTGCCAGTTGTTAAATCCTATCCTTCTGTAACAGATTTCCTTTGAAATTTATTTTCAAGGGGGTGAGAAATGATTTGTGACAGAACATGCAACCACTGGATTGTGTTGTATGAATAATTTTTTATAGCAAGTCTGAAATTGGAAAAGGGCATGTTGAATGCCATGGCAAAAGCAACCACTATTGGGAAAAGGTCTTTAAGGAGTTCATTAACTATAAATAGCTTATAATAATGGGTCTCTTTGGTTCTAAATATGGTCTCAAATATTTTTCTCTGTGCTCTCTGTAGAAGGACTTTAGTTTCCACTGCATATTTTTTAAGAGAACATTTCATATGTAACAAAACAGTAGTAAAAGGTTAATGATCTAGTTCACATTCTGTAAAGCCATAAATATAAAGTCAAGCATTCCTCCCCTACCTCCTCCATTTCCCATCCCAGTGCCAGCCACTTCTTCTACTGTGTCCTCTGGAACACAGAGGACTGCTCCAAACTTGCTTGTGTCTTTTCTTTCTCATTCCTTCCATCTTCTGACTCTCACTGAGTCTTGTCTCCCTCCTGTGATGCCAGAGACTCTCTGGCCACCCTTTCCTGTACTCACCCTCACTATTCTCCTCAGTTCACTGGTTGGGGTGGGGGAGTTGGAATACTTCTTGCTCCACATGGCCACTTCCAGGTTCTTTACCTACCTCTGTCACTCAGTAATCTTTACTCCTTTGAGAGTTATGCATTCCTATCTATTACCCAATAAGAATCTAGGTAGCTGTTGTCTGCAGACTCCAGAGGTCGACATTCTCCTTCCACAGTGAGTTCAGTACCTGGCTCACAGTAGTTTTCTCCTCCTCAGCTCCTGCTCCCATACTAGGAGACTTCAGTATACATATTGATAATCCCTGAAACACCCTAACTTCCTGGTCCTTTAGCTGACTCATTTTCTATGAGCTATTTCTATGACCTTCTGTCTCACCTTAGCCACATACAAATATGGTCATACCTTTGATCTTGCCATCACCCACATATGTAACAGTTCCATATTCATGAACTCTCCCTATCTAATCACAGTCTGTTGGCATTATCTCTCTCCCTCTGCCTTCCAATACTAAATCTTACTGTTTGTCTACACAGTTGACCTCTAATCCATTGACACTTCAGTTCTCTCTTTTGTACTAGCTACACTCTCCTACTTTCCCTATCTTGATCCCTTGGTGAACCAGTTGAGCTCTACACTGTTTTCTTCTCTTGAGTCCCTGGCTCTTTTATATTGCCATTTGTACCCTGCCAAACCTTAGCCTTGGATCACTCCTACTATCTGCTGCCTTTGGTCCTACATGTGTTGCTGAACAAAGGTGGAGAAAATAATGCAATTGTTCTGACTGGGCTCAGTATAAATTTATGTTACATAACCTCACTGGGTTCTAACTGCTGCTAGGCCGTTGTTTTACACCTCTTTAACTCACTGGGCAGCTAGCTGGCTCAGGGCCAAGCCTGGGGTCAGGAAGACATCTTCCTGAGTTCATATCTGGCCTGAGACACTACCTAGCTGTGTGACCCTCAGCAAGTCACTTAACCCTGTTTCTCTCAGTTCCTCATCTTTAAAATAAGCTGGAGAAGGGAACAGCAAACCACTCTAATATCTTTGCCAAGAAAATACCAAATGGGCTCACAAAGAATTGCACATGACTGAAATGACTGAACAACAGAAAATTAATTCACTATCCCACTCACCACAGCAGCTCTTCCAAATGTTTTTATACCGCCTCCCATGGCTCCTCCCCCTTCCCTCTCTCGGAGAAGCTTGCTTCAGGTTTTATTGAAAAAATTGAGGCCTGTCACTGAGAGCTCCCCCTTCTCCCTTCCTCCTTATCTCACATCAGCAGGTGCCTTCTCTCCTCTCTCCTTTTTTCACCTTATTTCATATGAAGAGGTAGCCTTTCTCCTTACCAAGCCCAATCCCTCTACATGGACAAGTGATCCCATTTCTTCCTGTCTTACCCAGCAGATTGCCCTCCTCTGGCATCTCCACTCTCATTTGTCTTCAATCTCTCCCTTTCTACTGGTTCCTTCCCTACTGCCTACAAACATACCCATATCTCCTGCATTTTTAGAATGCCCTCACTTAATCCATCCATCCCAGCTAGCTCTTGTTCATATCTCTCTAGCCCTTTTTGGCCAAACTCGAGAAGGGTGTCTATAAGGTACTTTCACATTCTCTTCTTAAATCTCTGTAATGTCTTTTGACTTCATTATTCAACAGAAACAGCTCTCTCCAAAATTACCAATGATTTTCTAATTGCCAATCCTCATCCTTCTTGACCTGTCTGCAGCCTTTGACACTGTCAATCACATCTTGTTCTTGAAACTCTTTTCTTTCTAGATTTTCAAGATACAACTTCCTCCTAGTTTTTCTCCTACTAGTCTGACTGCTCCTATTCAGTCTCCTTTGCTGGATTTTTATCCAGATCATTCCTGCTAAGCTTGGATGTTTCTGTTTGTCCTGGGTTCTCTTCTTGTTCTTTTCTTAACTCTTTCCCTTGGTGATCTCATTAACCCCCATTGATTGATTCAATTATCATCTCTATCTTGATTCTTAAATCTACTTATAACCAGACCTCTCTATTGACCCTCCAGCCTTCTATCTCCAATTGCCTATTAGACATCTCAAACTAAATATCCTATAAACATCTTAAACTCAACATATCCCAAACTGAGCTCATTATTTTTACCCCTAAAACCTTTCCCCTTCTGAAGTTCTCTGTTGTCACCACCATTCTCCTACTCTCCCAGCCTCACAACCTACATGTCATCTTCATCTCCTCACTCTTTCTCACTGTTCATACACAGTCTACTGGCAAAGGCTGTCAATTTTATGTTTGTAACATCTCTCAATTATGCCCCCTTCATCCTTCTGATAACTTCAGTTATCCTGGTGTGATGATCCTTCATTTAATTGCTCCTGAACTATTGCAGAGACCTGTTGGAGAATCTGTCTGCCTCGAGCCTCTTCCCACTCCAGTCCATCCTCCACTCAGCCATCAAGGTGATTTTCCTAAAGTTCAGGTCCAACCATGGCACTTCCCTACTCAGTAAGCTCTAGTAGCTCCCTTGTTGCCTGCAGGATCAATTACAGAACCCGGTGGTTAGTGTTCAAAACCCTTCAGAAATGAGGGCTCCCTTCCCTGCCACCTTTCCAATCTTCTTATACCTTATATCCCTCCATGTACTGTTTGATCCAGTGACAGTGGCCTCCTTCCTGTCCTGTGAACAAAACACTCCATCTCCAGGCTCCAGGCATTTCCTCTGGTTGTTCACCCATGCCGGGAATGCTCTTCCTCCTCATCTCTGTCTCCAGGCTTCTTTGGCTTCCTTCAAGTCCTAGCTAAAATCGCCTTCTGCAGGATGTATTTCCCAATCCCTCTTAATTCTAGTACCTTGCCTTTGTTAATTATTTTGTATTTATCCTATATGTAGCTTGTTTGTACGTAGTTGTTAGTTTGTTGTTTCCCCCTTTATTATTGGGAGCTCCTTGAGATCAGGGACTATTTTTTGTTTTTTTTTGTATGCTCAGTGCTTAGTACAGTACTGGCACATAGGCACTTAATAAATATTTATGACTGATTTATTGTGAATTTTCCTTTTTTGGAAAACTGGGAGGTAGACCATGTTAGTTATGTAACACTACCATCAAATAAATTACATCTCTAATACAG